GCTTTTCAAAACTACACTACCGATCGGCCAAAAAAAACCCCTGTACGATGTCAGCGATTTTAAAATTTGGTTAAAATTTAATGTGTCGCGATGACGAGAGCGAAGTGATGGAACTTTTTTCCTCATCAACTTTTTCCTAGCACTAATCCCTAATGCTTTGTCTATGGCCCTGCTTTATCCAGGATATCCCAACAACACAGTCCTCCTCTTTCACATCTTTCTTATCCATCGTCCTTATTCTCGCCTCCCATTGGTGCATAACCAAGAAAGGGAAATTAGCCTTAGCGGTAATAATACGTCGTCTTATGCACGTCCTAGTTATGCCACTCAGTGCCGGTTCGGCCCCTACATTTCCAAATTCCATCTGCCCACAGGGCCCAAACGACCTGTGGGGTCTTTTTCTTCTCCATATGAAATGAAATGAAGCTTGCAAGGATCTAATTAAGTGAAATTGTTGATGAGGGAATAACCAAAAATCATATGTGTATGTGAGATTTTGAATGGGAAGGGTGGGAAATGGGTTATGCAGCTAAATTATGGAGATTGAAGAGGATGGAAGTGATGATTAATCCGTGACTGTAGTGACTAATAGTGAAAATTAAAAGGATACGAGGGGGAAGTGAGTAGGGGAAGGAAAAAAAAAACGAAGTTTTATATGTGCATTGTATAGGTCACCTGGTTACACTTTGGACATTGCAGTCTGGACTTCAGCTGGCCATGGAAGAGATCGACAAATATGGAATCGTTACGCAACAGATGGTTACGCCATGCTTCTCTTGATACCTGAAGAAGAAATGGAACCGTAATGGAACAGAATAAATGTAGATTGAAATGTAGAAATGTAGAAAATAATGCAGAAAATGTAGAAATGTAGAAATAAATAAAAATGTAGATAAATAAATAGAAATAAATAGAAAATAAATAGAATGATATAGAAATAAATAAATAGATAGAAAATAAATAGAAATAAATAAATAGAAATGTAGAAAAAAAATAATGCAAAATAAAAGTCAAAATTTCTTCCGTATTCACTCTCTATGAAAAATGGAGGCATTCAGAAGTAACCCCGAGTGGTAGCATGTGCCAGAAGCCATCCCCGCTAGCAAGAGCTCAACGGCTTATTTCGAGGACTGTTTAGAAGCAAACTGATGGCTAGTATTCTTGCATGGGCCAGTCCGATACTATGGAAATGAATGAGCAAATCGTAGAAAGAGGGAATTACCTGCCTACAGATCAAATCAAACTATCGACTTGTGCATTCTGAGTCCTGTGCGTTTTCTAAATATTCCTCTTTACATAACTTTTCAATATGTCACACGGTTTGTGTACCACATTAACAGCCCTACTATCTTTTCCATCATAATCTATCAACTAATCCCACTCAACATTTAAACTTATGGATTACGGCTGTCCCATATTTTCAGTGGTTCGGACTAACCGTTTAATTCAGAAATTACGGTTCCGCCTACCAGCGGGCCGAGCCGTAATTTAACCCACTCCGCCCGCCCACTTACGATTCAGCTTTCTAATGGCTGTTACTTATCATTCCCTGTATATCAGGTCAGCTGGGCGATGTGTTCTAGCTGATCTAATGTACTGGAGATAAGTCCATCCAGAAGAGTTTAAAAGCAAACCTCAATATCCGGTCGACCTTCCGCTTCAGTAGTGTTTGTGGTTGGCTTGGCGCGTATACGATTCAAATCCTCATGAAGCCCATCCAGTACAAAACTCAGAAATTCATGTGCATCGTGCTGAGCGAAATTTGCAAATTGTGTTGCTTTCTCAGCAACAAGTTCCTACAAACACGATTTTTCAACTGTGATAACTTTTGCTGCTGTAAGGGAAGTGAAACTCTGTCCTGGATAAACACCTAAATTCAATATGACAGGATTTAAATCTAACTGGCCAAACTGAATAACCCAGTGATTTCCCACGTAAAAGTTGAGAATTTCAAGGGATTAAGTAGAAAATTCACTGTCCCTCCCAGATTTTTCACTCTATGATACATGGAACATATGTTAAAAGAACACCTCAATTTCACATGAAGCAATCTAGAAGTCACAAAATTCACAAAGAGATGATAATCAGAAAACACTAAGAAAATCACGAAACGAGGTGGCTAGTCGTTTTCCGGCAGGTGGGATCCGATCCAAAAAATAATTCTGAACTTGACACAATTAAGCTGGCCGTCAGTAAACCTCAAGCCTGAATAGTCCGGTTGAAAAAGAAATTAGATACTTTAATTTTTGTTGGCTCATAAACACGATTCATTCCGTTCCACATCTGATTCATGAATTCAGCAAATACTTCCGCCAGACGGCCACTAAAACCGAGCGGATTGGTTTTATTGATATCTTTCTTGTAGTAACCCTCTGAAAGAAGATTATGAATATGTACACTGTTGTCTTTGCATATCGATAGCAGTCAATTCAAACTAGAGTTAGAATTTTAACATGTAAATTTCCAGAGCAAGCGAGGACTGAAAATCTGCGGGGGAAAAAATAAAAAATCTGAATGCAAAAAGTTAAGAATTTGTCTACGCTTCATCCCAGGGCTTGATATTCAGAATCTGATTAGGAAAAAATATTGCCTGTGAGAAAAGAAAAATTCTTAAATATCTGTTTAGTTACGACAAGAGGAACAACCACCAAAAGATTAAATACCACAAAAAATCCAAAAAAAACCTCGCAAAAACTCATACATCAATTTTATTTCTAGTGAAAAATTCCCAAGTACTGAAACAAGTCTTAAGCGCAAAAACGAATACCCGGGAGCTAATTTTTCGGTTTTTTAAGAAGAAAAATTTAAAAAAAAAAATGCTTACTGCCAAAATAAATCTGCAGTTCTTTGCAGTTTACGAGCATTTGCAGCGTGGAATTCATGAAACACGTGTTGCCAATGTTACGCAATCCTGTGTAACCAATCTCAACCACTGTTCCTTGTTCATCGTATGGCAATACCTGCAAAAAAATTTCTTCATAACTAATCGAATTCCTTTTAAATCCGTCCTTATTCCCCACCC